ATTTGCTGGTGGCTTATCTCCACCTAACATGCGACCACGGTTATATTTTCGACGACCGGCGAAGCGGGCTTCGTCTATTTGAATGGGGTTGACATATGTGCCAAGCATTTTTATTTTTTTTTTTTAATTACATATGATACATGTAACAACACTCACAAAGAAAATGTTACGAGAGTGGCAATTCATATTTCTAAATGTCCAAAAGTGCTAGAATCAATGATCCAACAAAACGATCACCGATTGGTATAACTTGTGTCGTGAAGTGTGCACTGCTGTAATTAAAAAAAAAAAATAAAAATGCTTGGCACATATGTCAACCCCATTCAAATAGACGAAGCCCGCTTCGCCGGTCGTCGAAAATATAACCGTGGTCGCATGTTAGGTGGAGATAAGCCACCAGCAAATACGGATGAGGGGGCACAGGTCGAAAACAACCGCAACCATGGTGCCAGGGTTGATGGACCGTGGGCTTTCGGTCTTAAGCAGGTATTTTTACGTAGAACGCCGTGACAAGGATACTCTTTTACCTATTATTAAAAGGGAATGTGAAGGTGGTTCCGTCATTCACTCAGATGAGTGGCCCTCATACCGATATTTAACATCAGAAGGGTTCATTCATGAAACTGTTAATCATCAAGAAAATTATGTTGAGCCCTTAACAGATGCGCACACACAGGGTGTTGAAAGATCGTGGTTGGATGCAAAAATATCCATACTGAAGAAAAAGAGAGGCGTACCTATCCATATGCTTCAGTCACATTTGGATCAGTATTGCTGGAAGATGTGGCGAAAAAGTCAACCAGATTTGTTCATTGCATTTTTAGAAGATATGCGGGAGACATATATAATGAAAACGACGACTAAAATAAGGAAACTTATATTATTTGGATGAATTTTATATTTTATATTTTTTATTTTATTTTATATTATTTATATTTTATATTTCATACTTCCAAAAATAGCTGGTAGAACGCACGCTACACTCGCTAGTGTGCGACGGACTAGACATCCAGCTATACGCAAAGTAGAAGGAAGTAGAAGATTAAATATACAATTTCTAGTATTGTAGGTTAGTATTGTACTAGAAATTGTATATTTAATCTTCTACTTTCTTCTACTTTGCGTATAGCTGGATGTCTAGTCCGTCGCACTCCATATTTCTACAGACCAATGATTTTAAGTTGGCCGTCTTCACCAACTTAAAACAGTCTTCTCCGCCGAACGTATATGGCACCCACGAGTCCAACGATGTGAGGTTGTTCGTCAATATCGCATTTATTATGTAGCTATTTGTCAAGACTTCGGCCGTGGATAAAACTTGGGAACTGGTTCCTTCCGCCAGCATGCCGGTCAAGAACTCTACTTTTTCGACCGTCTGGTAGAGTTCTAACAAGGGAATGGCGGTGTCCGAGTTTCTGGTCATTTCGACGATGCTTTTATAAGCTTTTAGCCCTAATCGCCTTCTGTAGCTGTTGAATCCCTGTAAGCAGTGTTCCCTCGACAGCGTAATTAGCGCCTTTGTCATTGATTCCGTTGGAGCTCCATCGTTGTGTGCTGTGACCCCACCCATTTTGGAATTCACCATAAATTCCATAGCGTTTTGTAATCCACCTTCCAAAACTTGTCTACAAGTATAGACAAACCGTACCGTGTTATACGCGTGTGGTGATTAATATATGTTTATCTCATTAAAGTCGCTTTTTTTTCTGAAACTAGATTGGAATCTGTTCTAGTCCCTTTTCCCTAGAGTCCCTTTATAGTTCGATGTTATACTAGTTGATGAGTTCATAATATTATTGTTTAAAACGTATTATATCATAACGTGTTCTTTAAAAACATACTATATTTTGCATTAGTTCAACGACGCTTTATGTTTTTAATTTATGGATGTGGCAATATTGTGCAGGTACAGTACCTACCCCCGAATAAAAAGCTACCTATATAAGACTGCATAGGACCTCAAGTTCGACGGCCAAAGCCAGCTGATGTGGGTGGCGTCTATATACTTGTCATACTTAAACTAAATATTTAAGGGTGACGATAGTAGCTGGGTTTTTCAGTATTTCGCAATTATACTAATACAATTTGAAATTACATAGACCAGCAAGCTGTTCTCTTTTAAATAAAAAAAATAATTAACGAAATCCGACTATCTTACATGTCGTGAGAGTTTTTCCTCAAAGACATATTTTAGTTTACTAAAAACGCACCAACCTGAGGCTCTTAACTTAAATCATTTATCCGTGTTGGAACTGTGCATGAAAATAGCTTATAATAACCTATGCTATCCGTAAGGGTCAAAATGTGTAGTTAAATGGTTTTTAAATTTTATAATTAAGTTTTAGACTGACCTCGTGTTGCTAAAGTGCATCAAACTTGTTGAATTATATATCAAGTTTTCTGGCAGACTTGATACTGCCATCGTCAAATATAATTCAATAGGCGTGCCAAGACCACGGATGCTTTCCATTCGATGGTGGTAAACTTCCGGTCTGAGTTTCACATTTAGGATTTCGTTCATCATGATGGTCATCATTTGACCGGTTACAATATTCCTGGCCGTAGTGTAGAGCTCTTCGTCTGTCCACGCCGGTGACTTCTGTGACAACTCGTCGCACACTCGGTTGTGCTCACGCACCCAAATAGTAGACATCACGAACAGCATTGGACTCGCGCTCAACATATCTGCCCGTTTGAAAATCCGGGCGATCGTTCTGCTGAGCTATTTTTCACAAATAGTCCATCAATAATTGAAAGCGCATTACAAAATAACATTTTTGAATAAAATGTATTTTGATCTTTATTGTTTTTTAATTTATTTATTTTTATGAACAACAGCATACAAAAAATATTTTTTCCGATCACTTCGATGTAATGAAATCAAATTTCAGATGTAGGTACAGTTAATTTGTTTATGTATAAATAGTAAAATTAGGGAATTAGCAGTATTATAGTAAAACAAACATTTTTCTGTGTGTCTGCGCTTGTATTGTAACTCCGTCTATCTAAACATTAGAAACACTAGTAGGTGATATAAACTTTTATCAAAACATTTTATACAGTAATGAATTGAAATTATTTAAAAAACAAAAATATTTTCAAAAGCGTTTTTAATATAGTATTATAATGAACGCTTAAATTAATGATCGACCCGCATAATAATAATATAATAATTGCAGCTATTCTATACATAGGTACCTACTACCAACTAACAAAAATTCGATTTAAATCTGAAAAAAATATTTTTAAAAACCGGTACTCACCCACGAACCATCGTTTGAAATGCTTTTCTTCCAAGCCTTTGAGAATACGCTTGAGCGCAGTTCGAACACCTGATTTGGTGCATAAAGGTCGGAATTAAATTCCAGTGTCTTGAGCTTACCGCCGGATAACGATCTCATCGATCTCTCCGACACAGCATCACTGCCGTACAATTGCGAAGCCGTTACCTATATATGTTTGGACAATATAATTATTATTCAATAAATTTAATTTTAATTATTATTATTCAGTGGTAGATACGGTATATTATATCGTTTTAAACGCGCACGCGGCATATACAATAATAATATTATTATTGTAATTTTTATTACACAAACCGTCAAATTGGAATTCACGTCGAAAAATTGCAGAACGAAATATTGATAGAAAGCGTTGAAAAGTAAATTTCTGTTTTTACGATCCGGTACGAACTGACCAGGTTTCCGTTTGAAGATGTCGTTGTACAACGTTTTCAGCTGGGGCAAACTCTCTGAAAAAAATTATAAGCTTTTAAATTTCCTTTTAACCTATTGAGTGTTAATAACTGGTCGTTCGAATACGACCATATAGAATTTGTCGGCGACAGACAATACGCAGTTTTTACTTCGCGTGCCCATGCGAATATTATAGATATATTCAAATACAATATTATCAAAATAATACGTAGTGGGATATAAATATTTACCGTCATTCTTACAACATTTCAGTGGACGTGCAGGAGGCAATATTCTCCCCGCGTATCCATTATCGTAGTCGGCATCAATCCTCACATACTCTAATCTTTTCACTGCGCTTTGATGGACTAAACAAATATATATATATATATTATATATACATCACGTGCTATTATTGTAACTACTAAGATTATATAACATGTAATTCCTGTATATGTACTTAATACTGAAATAATTTTTAAAATATATTTTAGCTTATTAACTTATAGATCTTCAATCTTGTTTATTTTACATTATCTATGCATTAAAAGTTTAAAAAAATATGTTTATTTACATTGTGAGTTCGTCAGAATAAAATGGACACATTTCCTAAATTAATGATTGCAGTAAACCCTAGTTTCGGAAAATAACCAATATGAACACCATAGAATGATTTTCCTAATTATAATATTATGTTTAAAAATTATATCGAGTACTTACCACTATTAAAGTTCGTCTTTAATTCAGATTGTTAAAATATAATATATCATAGCATATTGTAATTATACTATTACCTAATTATTATAATTTCGAGGGCGCCCACATAATATATAATCTATACATAGATACAGTATTATTTTAATGTCGTTTTTGTTAATATTTATTTATGATATTATTAATATGAATTTATAATAATTAATAATAAGTATATATTAGATTATATGCAGTGAAACCTCTGAAAATTTGTTACATACATTTTGTCTTCACCTAGAAAGTATGTAGTTTGTTTCAAAAAATTGCTATTTGGGGGATGTCTGTTAGAGAAGGTTTCACTGTTTTAAATTAATATTGACTTAACTTATCTGTAATTGCTTTAAATACTTACAAGCATAAACGGTTTCCAGCTGGAGTGCCGAAGTTAATGGAAAAATGCTCCACCACATTGTCGGTCTGCCTCTACTCACGTCAGTGTTTTCAAGGCGAAACAACCATACTACAAATGACATAAACGACGTGGGTTTCTCTGCGATTTGAAAAAAATTTTAATTTTAATCCTTACCTAAATGTATAATAATATAATATAAAAAACAAACGCACCTGCAGTCGGCATCATTAAATCATGCTCTTGGCCGCACGTCGCATGCATCTTGCAGTAGTCGAGATATTGTTCATGGATAACTCTGGCTTTATCTACAACGTGGTACAGTATAAAGTTATAATATAAATAATGATAACAATACGATTGGGGCGTGGAAAGGACCCAATGAAATGGATGGCCAAACTATTATCAAGCCAATAGATAGAACTTGCTAGTTAGTGATTATATTGAATTATAAGGGGAAATTTATTCAGGCAAATCAAATAATGTGTTTTAAAAAAAGCTAGAAGATGGCAGTAAAAATATTGTACACTACTAATAAGGTCCGTCTCCTTGGGTTGGGAAAACTCACCTATACGATCACATTCCAAGTACAGTGTCACCAACAATAGTATAAAAAACACGATGAATGTCCCAATACACGAGTTCACTGAAAACAAAGATACGTATTAATTTTTACATAATATTAAGACGGAGGCAACATTTTAGTGGGTCCACGAGTCGGTATCGTGACATTTTATATACCCTATCATTAATCCATATCATTCAGAGTATGTCAGCTAACTTTCGGTTTTTCTCTCTGATCCGCGCGCAACACAACAAATCTACGTCCAACCCCAAAACAGTGTGGTTACTTTTAATATTGGAGCGAATTCGCCAATTTTCAAACCTTAAGTTACGAAGAACACCTGTGTCCCTACGACGTTCGTTATATTACGATATTTTGATTACCATACAATTTACGAATATGCATAAATTATTACGATTGTAAAACAAGCTTTCAAATTGTGAAAAACATTAAATATCGTTAACAATTCTACGCATAGGTTAATGTTCTTGGCTTAAATCTATTCGTAGGTAAATTTGGGGTAATTTAAGTTAAAAACACGGGTTTAGTTCTGCTAAACATAAACTTTCTATGTTTAAAATGGGTTAGAGAAAGAAAACAAATGGTGCCCTAACATCCCCCCCTGATTCACGGCGAGGACCCGAGTCCACGGTTTTGGCTGGATATTATATTCGTGATCAGATCTATTCGCGTGTAGACCGTCGGCGGGAGTCGAGACTTATTAAAGGTGCGCAGTGATGTCTTTAGGGGGGAGGGTTCAGGGCCAAGGCCCCAGGCCTCTTGTTTTTTTATCACATCCCGCGTTCACACACGGCGGATACAATACTTCGCTGGTGCAAATGGGTGGCGTTTAAAACTTCCGTGTTATTAAATCACGGCGAGCCCACGGTCGTAGCTAAATACATCTATTATATGCTAGCAAGCGGACATTATTTGCAAGCAGTCTTCTTTCGTTCACTCGACCGACATTCGCGCACCTGTAGCTGTATCGCCAAATATTTCCAGAAAATATTATATTTAAATGTTCAATTGGTACTTACTGAAAGCCTGTAACTTGCGGTTAAAACGCTTGACGAAAACATGAACCATGATGAGACTGTATGTAAACAATAATTGATCGACTGATCAGAAAGTTGAAGCAAATATTAAATTAGAATTGATTCTAATACAATAAACTAACAAGAAAATAGTAATGCAACAGTACGATATATTATAGCGAATATATGTAACGTCTGTTCATTAAACTAGTGAAAATACGACTGATTCTAAATTATTCGAAGAACTAACAATGAAATTCGTAAGCAATCCGTTGTCCAGTAACAAAATATAATAATAAATTAATATGTTAGTATATATATGCTGGCTGAATTGGCCAGCATATATTTTTGAGACCCAAATTAATTGTTTTCAAGTACACCATTTATTTTTAAGTAGCGTGCTTGAAATTATAACAAATGTATGATGTTTACTGTTTAGTAATATTTATATTAATATATTATTATAATAAAATATAAATTTATTAAAAGAAAATTTTGACTTCAAACATGGCCGCATATTCATCACATAATAATATTGCTGTATTTATCTAATATCATTTTTAATTATATACATTATCACGCATAGAGTAATATAAAGAGGCCGTTACATATAACTTCTGTATTCTAGTAGTGAAGCCAAATGTTCGGTCGTTGACACTTATCGAGGGTCCAACTACGCTCTCTCTGTCCGCTGGAGATACCTACGAGTAGTTTGGGGGTCTTACATATCCAAGGGACGACGTAATATTAATATGCATGCAGAAAAATTTTTAAAATCATATAGTTACCAAAATAAAACAATTAATAAATTATTCATTCAAACAATAGTTCTTTCTCATTTTATGAATAATAGTTCAATATTCAGTTCTTTAAATAACCATAGCATAGATAGCAATAGTTCATTATCTGACCACTTAACACATATAATTAAATCAATATCATCAACATACATGAGCTTGAAAATAAAATATTCTATTAAATCCCATAATAAAACACCCTCTTTTCGTATGTGGTACAATTTTTTTTTTTTTTTTTTTATTTATCGAAAAGAAAGAAATACATAAATTATTTTTATAGATAATATTTTCGATTATCTATCTCCTTTAAGCAAAGCTTGTGTTGGAGATAGAGAGTTATTAAATTATGTAATATAATTATTAATAAAAGAAATTATACTAAATTAAATTAAGATTTTAAATACATATAAAACTAAATAAACAAATATCAATATACATTTTTCTAGAAATTGTACATGAAAAAAACAAAACTATAAAATAACATTATATTCANCAAATGTATGATGTTTACTGTTTAGTAATATTTATATTAATATATTATTATAATAAAATATAAATTTATTAAAAGAAAATTTTGACTTCAAATATGGCCGCATATTCATCACATAATAATATTGCTGTATTTATCTAATATCATTTTTAATTATATACATTTTCATTTTATATCAATTATAAGCCCAGAACAGCACATTTCAATGTGCATAGTATGCTATTGGAGTGTTATAGACAAATTACAGTGTATAATATTTCCAAAATGTTTTTCACAAAAATCTAGAAGTCAACAATTTTTTTAATAACACAGAGAAAACGAGTATGTTTATCAGTTACTGTCGAGTATCGATTGTGAATAAGGAGTGGTAAGGATTGCCCGGAAAATAGATGAGCTCCGTGAATGAAGGTGTGTTGTATTATAATATGTGTATACCGTATATTAAATAATAGGTATAATATGGCTTTAAAACTATATTGAAATAAAAATGGCATCAAAGATATGCTTGGTATAAATGGGCTTTGTATAAAAATATATTTTTGATTCAATCCAAATAAATGAGAATTATTATTATTACGAGCTATATGAGCATATTATGAGCTGTTGTTATAAGCGTTTAATACATACAGGTATAAGTTAAAAAGATATAATAATATTAGTAATTAGAAATGTTAGCACTACATATTAACTAGGTTAAGCTAGTAAACAATCATTTGTAGTAGGTAAAGTAATATAATTTTAAGCATAGTCAGTATAAGTATAATGTAACTAGATTAAACTTAATAATAATATTACCTATAGGGCTTCTATATTTCAGGAATATGTAAAAACAGAAAGGGGGTTAGTGGTGGTGATCGTGTGGCTCGATTACCATCAGACACAAGCGTTTATTAAAAGATGCTTAGAATATTATTTGTTTCTTCTTTTTGTGTGCGTCGAAGTGATCGGCGTATACGACACAGCATAGACATAATACATTGATATCTAGTAGCTTATAATTAAGAAAAATGACTACCTTGTTGAGTTCGCATAAAGAACAACTTTCAACCCTCTGCCAATTTGCCTCCAAGTTGCAACATACTAATGACTCCAAGTTGGTGGACTTGACTAAGTCGAAAAATTTGTCTCCTTCGAACGTTTATCCAGTTTCCACAAGAGTTCGTTATTGAGGTTATTATTGGTTAAAATGCCGTTTACGATAAAACTATTCGTCATGACTCATGACTGTGACAGTGTGATAATGGGTAAGGTTCCGCTTCTCTTTGCTTCTGAAAGCACGCCTGTCAACAATTCCACATGGTCGACAGTCTACTACAGATTTCTTAACTTAAAGGCGATTTTTCAATCCATGGTCAATTGGTGAAAACTATTACTCAGATTGAATATTATGTATTTTTTTAACGATATAAAACATTAAGCATTAATTGGTTCGAATCATAGTTTTGGAAATTTGTTATTTTGAAAAAAAAACCCGGTTTTATGTATATAGGCGTTGAGCGTATACCTCGTCGCGTAGGTAACTTATGAATTAAATACGAATTCAATGATAAATAATTGTGTACCAAAGTCATACTTTTGTTCTTTCATTCTATTGCCTATTAAAAAAAAAAAAAAACAATATAAGAACATCCTTTTACGAGGAATCGTTATTATAAGCATGAATATATTTTTTTTTATCAACATTTCAACTTTTCAGATGCTCATAAAAAATATTTGTAAAATTACGCTCAACTTATTTTTTTTATCCAGCATAACATCTTACGAGGAACCTTGAATTAAATTTTCAAATCTTGAGTATCTATAACTTATCTGTTAAAACCATTTTAACTCCATCATAGAAACGTACTAATACCAGGTTATGCAGGTACTTTATTTGTACAATGTACACAGCTGAATACAGCTACTAGGAGACATTGTCATAAACCTTTTTTACTTTCCATAATCCGTTTTAAGTAGGCATACAATATAATGTATCATATTATATAAGAACATATTGCATTGTTGCGTTGTGAAATAGAATACGTTACGAAAAAAAATGTACCTACAAAACGTACAGAAATACCTTAATAATTAATATACAGTATAATAGTATATAATATTATTATAACAATAATAACATACCTTTTACAAAAATATTCAGCTCCGTCCGCTTGTTGTGGATGAAAAAAACCTATAAGCATTCGGCACCTGCTCCTCCGACGTACGAAACAAGGGGGGCGTCGTAAAATGTGTCAACATATCAGAACCCGACCTATCTGGTTTTGAATTCGAAACGATCTCAGACGCACGTACACCTATAATATTTCCAAATGATAATAATATGTACAACATTCACGACTTACACACCCTCCTACGCTGTAAAATAATATTATATTTATTTAACGGGTACTGTGAGCCTTTTGATTACTTACATGAATCATGCGATGTACAACATTAATCGAGTAGCGTATATTGACAACAACTCATCACACAATATCGAGAGTCTATTAGAAAGCAAGGATCCGCATAGGCACATGTAATCAATCGCCTAACCGAAGTCTCTAGAAGTTGTCAGTGGATGAGTGAGCAATATAAAAAAGGATGATACCTAGTCAAAGAAAAAAACACTGATACACCTTAAAAGTTTAAACATACATGGAGACAAAGACGGTACTGCAGAATCCACTGTATGACCTTTAACAGTATTTTTGGGAATGCAATATCCAATATTAACGCCAACGCTCGGTATTAGCTGGAACTACTTCCATGCAAGGGTGCACAATATAATCATAAGACTTTTTAAGGCGCACAGGAAATGCACAGGAAATTACTGGCAAACCTATATTTTATATATTGTGATATATTTTAATATTTAAAATTCTAATTTTTGGAAATTTTAAATACGCTTGAAGACCATATTTTTGAAACTTGAGTTGTTTTGTGCAACTAAAGGATGATCCTGTGACATTGCAAACATCTGTTTTTTTAAATAGAAATGAATCCTCATTTTTCACTTATAATTATTTAGCAGATATTTTTTTGAGAATTTTGATGTAATCAACATTCAAGTGAGAAACTTTTGAGTTATATAACTTAGTGTACCTACTGATGATAATACCAAGTCTACAGTGATGGGTCTAGTGGTGTACTATAGCTATGGGGGTCAAGTAATTTATATCTATCAATATAAATAATTTGTAAAAACAATCTCAAACTATAACAAAGTATAATTCCATTTAATACTACATTTAAATTATATTTTTTTTAAACCAATTTTAAAGATTACCTAATCATTACCCTTGATTTAAACATTTTGATACATAACTCAGAAACTACTCATTAGAATTTTGATTTAGATGCATCCAAATTATCAAAAAAAAACCATCCTATACACTCTTTAAGTATAGTTCAACAAATATCAGAAATTAGAAAATAATATAGTCAAAGGTATTATAAAAATTTAAAAATCAGAATTTGAATCAAAAATATTAAAGAAAAAATGGGAGCGAGCACGCTTAAAAATGTACCCTGTGTATGATCTATATTCGAAATTGTACGATTTAGTATACAATTTATATAACTCGACTATAACACTGTTAACTACCTGGACGTACATTTACTCGGCGGGTTGTTTATAATAATAAATAATGAGCTACAGCTACAGTTCGGTTTTTTGCGAACCGGCGATGAAAATAATCGTTTGCAAGACATTGAGATTCGCTTGACAAAGTGCTAATTATTTCGCTCTCATCGCCTCCGCCGAACCGACATACACTGCGGTGGGTATGGTGGGGTACCTATGGTCGAGGCGTGGGTCTCATTCCGTACATAATAATAAATAATAATAATAATAATAATAATAATGATAAAAATATAATATGCAATTACCGTTGGATTCGTATTAATCATTGTAATAATATAAAAGCCCGCTGCCGGTAACGTACCGACAAGCATTTCGACATAAGTTTTCGATTTAACGAATTCAGTAATGATGCGGTATAATTATAATACGACGTGTAATCGCTCACCGCGCGATCGGTTTAGATCTCTATATTAATTTATACTGATATTATCGTGACCGATGACTATGTATAACAAATTAATAATTATATTATCACGTTATTTTTTTTTCTAAGTCTTAGAATATTACATTCACGGCGTAATTTTTCTCCACCTAATATTTATGCTATGCCACCCCTCCACGTCACGCGGTTTCGACAAAGTACTTAGGTATTTTAACGTTAACAATAATCCATTTAGAAAAAAAAATGACTTACCTGAGCAATTATTCGAAATCCTGAGACCCGGCGAAGAAGCGTACATCAAAGTTTAACATTTTTTTGAGTATGCCAGAATTATATAACTAAATTTCATTTACCAAAATATCAAAAAAATATTATTTATTTAAAAAAAAAAGAAAATATGTTATTAAATAACTGGGGGCAGGGGACATGTAACATTTGCATATTTGTTTTGCGCAGTCACGAAGATAGCTGAGTATAAAACAAATATGTTTCATGCTTTCGCAAAGTTTGTTTTGACATTTTATTTTGCATATAAATGCATATTTTGAGTTTTTATTTTATTTTTATGGTGCATTTCTTTGATTCTTTATTTTTAGAGACATATTTGAACTTAATTAATAATTTTATCAATTCATTCTACGCTGACATTTGGTCACATAATACAACCAAAATATAAAGTATTTTTGATTGTTGTCGTATAATATGATTCTTAAATGAGCGCACGTTTTTCCTAGAAATCTGATCATTTTATAATTTATATAAATTAAAAAAGTTACAATAAAATGTAGTACTTCAAATTTTAACATTTGGAACATACTAATATTATTGCCGTTACAACATATTGGTCCATAAAAAAAATAATCCATTTTACAATGTTATTTTTAAGTTTAGAGTGAAATGACTCATGGTAAAATTATAAAAAGGTAAGATTATTAGCTACGGCATTTCGTTAGGATATATCATTGATATTATTTTTAATATATTTTTAATTTTTTTATTTTCAATAGACAAAAAATGTACCTAAAGTTTAAAAATTTTCATAACTTGCTTCTTAATACCCATATCAATAAAAACCTCCGAGATGCTCTGTATTATAATAACCTCAGTTTTTTTAAATTTTATAGGAGGTCAATTCACTCTAATTTTGGGAATAACTGAAGAAGATATATTATTGTGAACGTAAAATTGTTCATGTTGTATTAAATAATCGTTTGTGAGACGGAAACAACTCATCCAGGTGTGGCGTCCTCCAAAGTGAATTAAAATTTAAAACACAACATTTATTGTAAAGATATAATATAATAATACCTATTACCTATACATTATAAGTTTCAACGTAAAGGTATAATGTAAAATATATATATACTTATATATTACATACACGACGAAAGGACGACACGTCATCGTAAAATTCGACCATAAAACCCTAAGAGCTCCACTGACGTCAAATAGGACGAGACATAAAAAACGAATTACGAAGATGTACTAAGACCTGTGTATGCGTGCGGCTGGAGTGACAGATAGATATACACAAAAACCCGCGGCGTTTCGTTCAACGTAAAAGATCTGGTCCGAAAACTATATAAAATATAAACTACCTGGCTGTGTGTCAACCCGATCCACTGGCACTGTAGAGTTCAGTGGATCATAACAAGATTTTAATGGTTAAAAAACTCATCTAAACGTTTAAAGACTCGAAAATTGTTGTTGTTTAATCGATCTACAGTCATGCGCTGATTAGAAACACGCGAGGGAACGACGACGATACATTAAAACAAGGAGGAACCTTCGCCGATCTCCCACGACGAAAACATAAAATAAAATAAAATAAAACAATATTAGATAACGGAGTTACTGCCAGGTAAATAGCTCGATTGGTATTTTTTATGTTTAGATGATAATTAATAATTAATAATAATACAAAGTTTGAAAAAACCGTTTCAGATATGCATATTATATTATATATATATATTTATTTTAATGGTTTTTTACAACCTTCGAAAGCGGCCTTAAGTGTTTGATGTTTCCATATAGCACCTATTAACGCTATAATAATAATAATAATAATAATAATTAAAGGAGGGCAAGTAAATGGAAATAATAAAGTTAAGTGAACACACGAGATCGTTAAGTCAGAAGTTAATAGTTGACAACAATTTAATAATAAATTAATTCGATCAGTTTAAATTTAATGGCTTAATGGCTTTTTATTAGATTTCTTATATTAGTACATAGATTACACAAAGAGTATTTTGTGTATTGTGTTCATCTATAAAAAGTATTATTTTAAAAAGAAACAATAGAAATTATGTATTATTATTATTTATTACTCTTGTATTTAAATATTACTTTATTTTTATTTAAAACTGTTTATACAGTTATTCATGCATAAAAACATTAAAACCAAAAACTTCCAATACATTACAATATTTTTACCTGATAAATTATTTAAAAAAAAGCTAAGTTAACTTAGTATTAGAGCTTTATTAGTTATAAAAGGTCAGTATTGCATATTATGGTGTTGATAGGTATAATCGTTTAGTTAGGCAAGTAAATAATATTATGAAATATGGGTGATTTAGAAAGAATTATGCCAGACATAACTATAATATCGTGTTGTCAATACTATAATGATAATATGGGAACTTGGGATGTAACTTATCCCGTGCAAGCAGTCGTTTGAAAGTATTCATGTACAGGTACAGATACTTATTTTGAAAAGTATTACTATGATACTTTCAAATTTTGTATGAAATATTTTTTTTACCTTATAATTAATCTGCCAAACCGATTTTCATGTCTTGAGTTCATTGTATACAGCATAATATATTTTTCACCCTATCTTTTAGTGGAACTTTAAGGTTCTCAATTGTTTTGTTTGACGAAGTATTCGACTACAGTTCATAGTAAAAAAAAAATAATAATAAATTAGTATGTATATTCTGTATATATAATGAATAGATTTACTCAAATTTATGTGAGTCAACACTGGATCTAAATAACTAATATTGTTCCAAAACATATTTGGATGTTATGGTAATGAAGTATTGATCTACGCTATTTTTTTAACAAAATTTCAAAGATGAACTTAGAAGGGTTACACTTAAAAGTTTTTAATACATTATGATTAACTATTATTTATATTATAATATATAGGTTATAGGTTCAAATGTATTTAGTTCAATAACTGTTGGTCCAAAAAAGCCGGTGCATTCCGAAATAATATAATGCGTTTATTGTGACTTGTGAGTACAATATAGGTGTAAATAAAGCGTTTGATATTATTTGCGGGGGAGGGCTTATCCACCTATTTGCGACTATGGTGAGTATACAAGAGCACAATACGTATTATTATTACAAATGATACGATTGCCAGCGTTGGTCCTAGTTTAGGCACATCGACATTTGACGAAATGTGAAAGCACGGTAACGCAGACCCGTCTCATCGAAGAGTGTGCTAAGAAAAATCCATTTTATTGTCAAAAAAGGGTAACAACTCTCCAAAACAAAATACAGTACAGTACCTGACATTATATTCAGAAAGATTTTAGAATTTCGATTCTGATGTATCGGAAACTGTGCCGGGTCCGGCGGGCGCCTGGCGAATGGCGACAAATTCGTCCGGCCGTTTTGGCGTCCAATTTCGATGTTTTTCAATCGTAAAAATACAAACGAAACCGTGGCGGCTGCGGCAGTGCAGTAGTCAGAGGGGAGCGAAGGGGTTTATAGCAACCCTTCCCCCCATATTAACCAAGTTTATTTTAGCCTGATGTAATATAATATTTTATTTTAAAAAAAATGATTTTACAATAGCCCCCCCACACAGAATTTCTGACTACAGACGGATACGCGATGACCGCCACCTGCGCACAGAGCGGTACACGTGGTATACGTCGCATCAACATAAGTACACGGCGATGTATGGGTAAGCAATAAGAACGGCACACGGCAGACGCGTATTTTTATTTATTTATACCTCCGCATTCCGGCGTGAAATAATTTCTCCTCTTATATTATTACTATTCGAACGTCGTCGTATTATAAATCGCAGTGCGCGGCTTTCCATACGGTCGTTTCCATGTGGGTATATTATGATATTAAATGGAGGCACCCATACAACACATATCTATAATATGTAAAATATTATTATTATTAATGCGTTATGTAACGTACGTGCCGAAAGAACAAGCCCAAACTAACCGAATAGGTATGTATGCATTTTTGGTGGCATTTTATTAAATTGTTTTCGTGTGTGGGTGTGCACATATTACGGGTACACCATTAATAACAATATTATTATTATAATATTATTGTCTTATATTGTCGCCGACCATCGCGCACCGTTCACACACACACACTGCACGATGACCCGCGCGCTGACCCGGCAGACCGCGGGCGAGACCTATCGCCGCCTCGGACCTCGAGGTCCCGTAATAGGTATAAGAGGACGTGGCACTCGCCGCCGTCTCGTCCGCGATATTGCGCAGTGATATACGACCGGAAACGGAAATTTCGCCGCGTTTACGCCGATAACCGTCTGTGACTTGTGAGCGTGTACGTACGTATGTATCATATAAATATGACGCACCGCCCGCCGGTGTGCTTGTAATAATAACGAATAACGATAATAATATTATTATTTTTTTTTTTTTTACGCCTATATGCGTAAAAAGTCGGACGGCGCGGGAAAGTGGGCTACAAACGTGGAGATTATTCTCTGCTGACCGGAAGACCCGTCACAGCGTTTGGGTTATGGGTCGGTACTATGGGTACACTCGCCTGTGTGGAGACCGAACGATCCGCTATTGAACGAGTATTGTGACGCCATAATATTATTATGTCTGCGATACTCCGACTTCCCGGACGGACCGAAATCTTCTTCATCTCGTGTCCGGTTGAAATTGCCGATAATCACATGTAAATAAATAGTAAATATATGAATAAATAAACAATGTATGTGTATTGCGGTCAAAATAGATCAATGAATAAATATAAAATATACAAGCAAACTTATAATAATATTGACTTGACCAAATTTACGCTCAACTCCGTTAGCTTATAAACTAGAGTAAATCGACCTATTAATTGATAATAATTATTATGAAACTCGAAGGTAAGAACGTTATCTGTGTTTGTACACTCTATTTTGTACTGAAGTTTGTGTGAAGTGAGTTATGAGCGTCCCTGATTTACGCTTTTTATATAGGTACGGACAAATTATAAAAATTAAAATATCTTAAAAACTAGAGAGAACACATATTGTGTTCTGACATTATAAGTTTGATAATAGTTCGATTCACTTTAATAGCGAACAATACGAAATTGGAACAGGTGGACGAACATTTTGGTACATAATGCGTTAGTAAGACGGAGAAAACATAATGTGCGTGCGGGTACGAAGGCCTATTCGTAGGCTTGAACGGGGAGATACCCACTTTCCATATTCCCTTCCCCCACACTAGCCTACCCGTAACGGTACTGCTCCCCGTCACCCACCCGCCAATCAATAGTCTCTACCAATTTGGTCAATTTTTAAAATAGATTGGGTAATACACTAATACCCAATATTGAATTTTGGCTTGTGGACGTAGAGTGCGCGACGCACGCACGTTATTTTGAATTCATTGTTGACAATAACAATAACAAGTAATATCGTTTAATTATAATATTCTTCTTATTCGTTTATTTTAATAGTAGATAATATTTTAACAGCGATATCGAGTTTGGATAGTGGAAAGATTGTGGCGGTCATAATTATTCATATTCTGAATAGGATGTCCTGTACTCGACCTGTCGGGTCCTAGTAATTTTTATCGCGCAGTTACAATGAATGCTCTTAAAATCGTTCTTTTGATGGTCTGGTCGTTTGCGGCTGCTGATGGAAAGGTAATAATATTATTTAGTTACTGTTATTTTTCGGAATCGTTTCATAATCATTGAATTCAAACATAACACATCCATTTCAGTGACATACTCAACGATGATAAATTATAACTTGAACTTACATGCGTTACAGAAACTTCCATGTTGCTTTTTGAATTAACTATTATATCACACTGTGCTCAGTTATAAATTATAATACTGTGTCACTGTGATAATATTTGGAATTTCTGATATATTTTACCTTACAAATTTTTGTTATACAACAAATTCCAAAGTAATTTATGATTTTAGTTATTCTTTGCCCATGTTCATTAATGAATAATTTAATGTTCTAATATATTTTAATGTATAATTTGTACAGACAAGTGTCTGCTTCAATTGCATTAGAAGTACATATCAAATATTTTATTTATAACTAGTTAGGTAACTTAGGTATCAGTACTTTTTATGAATTGTATTTATACATTTTCCTAAAAACTAAAATACTGCAATATTCAACAATATTCTCTTCAAATTAACTCTCATATACAATATATCTATTATTTATCCTATCAATATTTTGTATTTATTAAATATATTCCATTTATAGTTAAAATAAATTATCCACAATAACATTTTTCAATTTAATATTACCACTTCCAAAATACTTCAATTTATTTTTATTTTGGTAGGTATCCATAGATTGTGTAAAGTTCCTTAAATTCATTCTGATTGGGAAACTAATTTTTAAAAAGTGACTTCTTCACTTATCATATTTTTATTGTTTTATTTCAGAATGACACTGCTAACTATGAACCTGTTCATTTAATATTGGTTTCTACGCATAATATATTTAGATCTACCGATCTATTGATGGATACACCTATAAATGTTTATTCTACAAATCAAACAATCAATGGTATGCATATAAATAACCATTATTTTATCTTGTATTTGTGTTATAAACTAAAATGAAAATTTTTCTTAGGTGTATCAATTAATATACGTACAAATATTTTATATATTTTGGATTCTTCGGGTTCTGTATTGTCAATGTCAAATAACAAGATTAGCATTTTATTAACAACCAAAAAGGAAATATTAATGGACATTACTATTGATTGGCTTAATAATCACCTTTATATATTAATGTCATCAACAAACAAAAACACTATAGTTTATAGTATTAAACAATTTGATTATGAGCAGCAAAAAATAGAAGAAATATTTTGTGAATTTGATTCTGAACCACTCCAGATAGAAGTGGATCCTTTAAATGGGTAGATATTTTAATAAATATTATTAAGCGTGTATAATGATAATTTTTATTATTTAATCTCATTGATAATAGGTTTTTATTTTGGAGCACAAAACTAGGTTTATACCGATTAGACACCAGTAAAAACTTAAAAAACTTGGATATGAATAAGTCAAGAATAATTTTACGTAATGATATTGGTCCTTTTGTAATCGATTATTTAAATGTATGTTTGTTAGTGATATTCCGAAAGGAAAACACTATAATGTCAGTTTCTTTGGATGGGTAAGTTTGTAAAAATGATGTTCTAAAGATGATCATTTTCTGTAGTTATTCATACATTTTTCAGTGATTGCTAATATTATTATTTGAATTAATGTCATTTTGGTATATTACAGTAAATATGTAATAAATATTAGAAATAACACACATACAGCGTTATTTGCTGATGCAACAACATTAGTATACGTGAATGAATTATTTTACTGGTCAAATGGTTCTGTAATAATGAGAGAAGACCATTTTATTGATGATCAAAAATACTACCAAACTATATATCCAGAAAATCATTTTAAAGTCAATTTAATAATATCTAATTGTACCGATCAACAACCAACATCATTTCCTAGAAATCCCTCACAGACAAGTAAAGTATCATATAACTTACTATTAATATTTTTGTATTATTTTTCTTTGAAACAACTTAATCAGTTATAACCCTGTACAGTGGACATCATAATTATACTTTTTTGATAACTTTAAAACTTAATACTAATGTATACCTACTATTTTAAATAACTTTAGGAAATCACTCGTTCATGTCCAAAGTGAAACATGAATTTAATGCAGAGAATCATAATTTATGGTATGAATATAGAAGATCACATGAACCATGGATAATACTAATATCAGGACTTTTTATCATTTTCCTTGTCTTGATAATGTTAATTAAGTATTGTATGTCATTTTGTTTGAAATTACGCATGTTATTTTTAATTAATTAACCTTAAAATATTTTATTGTATCAGGTTCAAATAATTTCACAGGCAAAAATATGCCACAGAGACCGCTTTTGTTTGAGAATATGGGTTATCAAAGTGTAGCATTGTTGTCCCAAAAAAGAGATAACAATGAATTGTTAAGAATTAAACGTAAGCAAATAACAGTTACAAAACGATTGGGGTCAGGAGCTTTTGGAGAAGTTTTTGAAGGAAAAGTCAAAGATATAAAGGTAGAAGCTGAATATTGTGTTGCTTTGAAATCTTTAAAAGAAGGTTCCACTCGGTGTGAATTATTAGAATTTTTAAAAGAAGCTAAATTAATGAATAATCTAAAACATAAAAATATTTTGGAAATTTTGGGAGTATGTTTAGATAATGAACCTAATTTTATTATTATGGAACTTATGAAAGAAGGTGATTTATTGAGTTATTTAAGGAAAACCAGACCAACACTAGTAAGATAAATATTATTATCATGATCTAAAAAAAAAATTTTAAATCACATGTACCCATTATATTTATGCAGGGTCATTCATTGAGTCATATTGATTATATTAGAATGTGTATCGATGTAGCCGAAGGATGTTCTTATCTCGAAGATATGCATCTTGTGCACCGAGATCTAGCGGCCCGTAATTGCCTGGTATCGTCGGCGGACCCTAAAGAGCAAATTATAAAAATTGGCGATTTTGGATTAGCAAGAAAAATGTATGCACATGATTATTACCGAAAAGAAGGAGAAGCTTTACTGCCTGTTCGGTACTATCAATATCTAAAAGTATATTTTGTGTATCTATATTTTATTTTGATCTTAGTTGGATGTCACCAGAATCATTAGTGGACGGTGTATATACCAGTCAATCTGACGTTTGGGCTTTTGGTGTCTTATTATGGGAAATTATGTCTCGAGGTCATCAGCCTTATCCAGGGCTGTCTAATATAAAGGCTATGCATTATGTTCAACACGGTGGAAGGCTTGAAAAACCAATAAACTGTCCAATAACTTTGTAAATATTCAATAAAAATTATTCTATTAATGATTTATTTTTTAATTAATGATATTTGTTTTATTTCAGGTATAATTTGATGAAAAAATGTTGGCATGTCGAGCCCAAAAAAAGGCCAACATTCAAATTCTCTTTAAAATTTTTAAAATCATATTACATGGTTTTAGAATACACTAATAATAGAGATATAGAACTACAAACAATCCCTGAATCAGTATATTTAAATTTATAATATTATAATTAATAAACAATGTTACGATATTAATTCAATCAAAAGAATATTGAAGGTTAATTTATGTTTTATATATTTTGTAATAAGCCTACAATTTATTATATAATTTTTGGTTAACCAAACATTTTGTCAAGTATGAATCATTTATCCAATTCCTACTAATAGCACACTAGCTAAAGTGATTTAATTAATATAAGTCTTAACTATAATTAATGATATCTATGTGTAATTTATCCAATACAGTGACTTACTTGACAACTACAGTACAGCAAAGATGTGATGTACCCACTGTTTCACCTTTTTTACAATTATATTTAATTAATGTGTAGTGATTAACAAAAATTACAGATTTTATTAAAATAATTTAAAGATGAACGGATGAAGATTTGTTGTCTTAATGATGATTTAATTAAGTTTTTAAAGTGGTATTATTTGTTAAAGAGGATTTATAAATAGTTTGCAGTTGGATGTTTATTATGATCTGGATTTTGGATATTATTTGATTATATTAAAACTAGTTATAACCTCCATTGAAGCATTTTTACTGTGCTAAAAGGTGATGAGTGATGGCATATAAAAAACATCATAGTAAAATCAACACCTACATTTATCGTTCCAATCAGAATCTAAAATATTAAATTAGCGGGATAGTCAAAAACATAAAAATTAACATTGCATACAAAAAAAAGAACATATTATGCCATGGGACTGTATCCAGGCTGTTACGGTACCTATTAGTTTGTATCTAAATATCTTTCAACAATAAATATGAACTACCAAATTCATTATTTGAACAAAACATTAATCAATTATAAATACTTCTGACTTATGATCTTGTGGGAAACTAAGTACAATGTAATTTTTAATATCTTACTAATAACTAACCATATTATAAAATAGGTAAACACTAAACATTTATTCATTCAACATGTAACACTACTATAGGTACTAGTATAACTATTGTTATTATTATATTATGTTTAATAGTACCCATAATATTAAAATGAATGATTTCCATAATAGTAATACAATAGTATACAGTTTAAAATATAATTATTAATTAAGTAAGTTAAATGTACTATAAGATCAGATTATATTTCAGATACAAAAAAAATATCCAATAATTATTTAATATTATGACAGATATCTAGACCAAGACCAGACCATAGATATAATACGAAGTAATCATCTTATATTTATGAGCAAAACCTTCAGAGTCGACTTTTGCAAAATATAACATCATTCACTCCCTCAAAAGTCAAAGCGGGATCGCCTAAACCGCCGGGCCACCAAATCAATGTCTACTAGACCAGCGTTTCCCAAACTTTTTCTCTGCCGGACCCTCTTAGAGAAAATAAAAAAGATCGCGGACCCCTAAATAAAAATTTAAATTAAAGCAATAATAAATAATAATACTAAATTGTTTGCTTTATTTTTAAAATTAAATACACATATGTTTATAATGAAAAATTGAATTAATAAAAAAAAATGGATAAATAGATATATTATTTTTATAATAAATAATTAATGCGTTTAATGTGATGGATGGTGTTGTTTCTTTAATACTAAATCTGGTATTTTAGGATCTATATTAGAAAGTTGAATACGTAAATCTGATTCTATATTTAATCGATTTCTATATTTATTTTTAGTGTACACATAAGCTGAAAATCCTTTTTCACAGAGATAAGTTGTTGAAAAAAGCATCAATGGCCTTAGTGCTGAGTCCGATATTTCTGGATAGTCTTGTCTTATACTCAACCAAAAAGAAGACAAAGAAGATTCTTTGAAAACCCTTTTTAAATTAGAATTACTGGATATTTCGATTAATTGATTTTCTTGTGTTGTTGTTAAACCAGTTATATCAGGGACATCTGCATTAAAAGGGTCTACTACCCAATTTTTATTTTTGTCAGGAACTGGAAAATATTTTCGAAATGAATGTTTCAAAATTTGGAGGTGTTCAATAATTATATCTTTTGTGTCCTGAGGAAAAACTTCATCGGATGATTCTATAAATGCATAAAGAGTTGGAAAGTGGTTAAAATTGTTTTGAAGGGCACGTTTTCTCCATAACTCAAGTTTTTTTAACATAGCTTCAATGTTATCCTCCGTGTGAAAAATATTGTCTTCTTTCCCTTGTAAACTAATATTTAATGAGTTCAGAGAATTAAAAATATCAGCCAAATAGGCCACTGTACAGAGCCATTCAAAATTATTGAAAAGATTTGCATATTTAGTAACTAATCTTAATTGCTTTTCAACGATAACTATTTCAACAATGTATTTATTATCAACAGTATTTCCCATGTAATACGAATATTGCATCATTATTTTCGTTTTATGGATAGGTATACTTTGTAAATTTTTAATTTACGTTCGCGGACCCCCTCCGGTATACGTGCGGACCCCTAGGGGTCCGCGGACCACAGTTTGGGAAACGCTGTACTAGACCATAGAGTAACCTATTTATGTGTCACTGCTCCGCCAGAGTCTGCGCCAAACGTACTGGTGGTTAGTGACGTCTTATCTTTGACTTTTATTGCGGTACCAGTCTACCTGATATTGTAGTGATGTTATTTAGTTTTCCCGGCTCCTACATAGGTACCTATCTATTCAATACAATGCGGTGACACGGTATATCAGACATCAATATAATATGTAAATGTTGTACTATTGTTATTGTCCATCACTTTATTATATAAGAAGTATTTTTAAAACGTTAATTAGATACTGAAAAGTGCATACATATCATATTGACATAACTTAGAACACCATTATACAATGAACGAGTATTTAAAAAATTTAAAGCAATTTTATTAATGATACATTAAATTAAATTATTTATTTGAGTAAACACAGAAGTTCTTTAATAAACCCTAGCCAATGTTTAAAAGTCAAAAAGTATCTGCTCCAGACCCCAGCACTCCAAAGAAAAATATTCTAGCGCCTTGCCTGAATCTACCTTGTCTCTATTAGGCACTCCGGTAAATGCAAGCAACACAGATTTTTCGACTCAATAATTCGGATGGTTTTGACCGAATATATAAAATACAGTTGTAAAATTGAATCTTATCAAAATAATTAATATCTATTTTTTTTTAATTTTATGGCAACCTTACAATATCATGTTATATACCTGAACAAAAAATATTAATTTTTTAATTTTTTATCAAGGTTAAAATGTTATCACTGTATAAATCTACGATTTGCCGCATGTGCATTTTTGCTCCTTAAAATCAAAATTTCAAAAAATTTCAATTACCGTGCACTTCCAAATGGTAATACGGATATGACGTGGGTACCATAAACATACAAGTCTCTATAGCTATCTTATTTTTGGCTGTATATACGTTGCGACTACGCGAATCTGCAGTCGGTCAAGACGTCTTGTTCTTTTGTAGATACATCATACATGGTACCTACCTATATGATATACGCGTACCATATTACCTATACATAGTGTATGTACACCCGAGTATATAACATATACATGTACATATATGTATTAATATTATACTTAAACGGTACCTATGCCTATATTATAATGCACGCGCTGCGTGAATGTCAGCGGGTGGCGGCGCGTCATTATCGTTAATTATATATTATAGTATATATTAAAATTAAATTAAAATTAAAATCAGACGACGACAGTGATGACGACGATGCTTATAACATAATGACGATGATAATATGCACGGCGGCTCGTATTAGCAACAATATTTTAATATTATTATTAAAAAATATGTAGGTAGGTCCCCGGCCAGCCGGTACCTGTGTTTATAATAATGTTACCGGTCCGGTCGAAAAGGGGCGCCCGCGCGTGATATATTGCAAACGATATCGTCTCGTCGACTGCAGTTATTATAATAATATATCTTTTACAGTTTTACACATATAGGTGTATAATTTTTGAGAACGTGTATAATATTATAATCGTATCGCTTTAAAATAATAATAATATAATATGTATAAACACTGATCATCGCCGGTATAGGCGCCCGCGTACATTATAATGTAATATAATTATATTATTAATACGATTTTTATTTTGTATTTTATCATTAAAATTTACGCCACACGTCCGAGTCGCTGTTATGATGTCATATTATACTATAATAATTACTAAATATAAAATATTATATAATAATGTATACTATTGTGGGTGCCGATGTGTTGCACGCGTCGCTAATGGATGTACTAATATATTTTTTTCACTTTTCGCTAGATAGTGGCAGAGAGATTTGCGAATCGTATGGGTAGAGTTAAAAAAAAATTGTCTCAAAAACTTCGCACGCGCGCCAGTGAAACCGGTTCACCGCTACTATATATATTTTATTATATTAGTAGGTATCTATATTACCTAATACCACTGCACGATGGTGATATTATAATAATATTTTGTACCCATGTAATTCGATTACCCATTTTAATAATTGTCCTCAAATAATATTTTTAGATTAAATACCTACCTAATACAGTAATACCCATGTAAATACGTATGTACAGAGTGTGTATGTACATATGTTTAGTGTTGAAGAGATTGTCGTGGGCGCGAGCGAGATCGAAAAATATTAATAGAATAATAATATAAATTATATCTAATTAAAGGACCCAATAATATTAAAATATTACTTATGATTAGACGTGAATAGCGGTGCATACACAATTAAAGATTGGCAAATTGAAGGCCATAGTATAAATGATGCCTAGGCCAGGCCAATAGTAGACATCAAAATTACAGGGTGTGCAAGTGCACACCTTGCACCCCCCAAAATGGCGCCCCTGGGACTCGAATGTTATTACATTTAACTTCTGGTCTTTATATTTGATAATATGTATGTATTATTATGACCTATGCGGCCATAAATACCGGCTATCATTTTCAGTGGGGTGAACTATGCAAAACCCTTAACTAAACGAGTACAGTAGAACCTCGATTATCCGAACTAATTGGGACCGCACCTAGTTCGGATACGCAAAAGTTCGGATATTGGAAATTTAAAAAAAAAATTTAGAATTACGTATGTATTAACTATTTACTATTTTTANCCCCCCCCCCCCAAATGGCGCCCCTGGCTGTAATAGTTATCGTTATTCCCACCCTAATAAAGGTCCCTAACCTAACCTAGCTTAATCTACTTATTATGTCGTTTAATATTAGATATAGGTGTATGTGTATTATGTGAGCACGTAATATTACAGTTTAATTAGAAATCGCACCCGTTCGATTTTTATTCATCAACATTATTTTTAAA